AACCCAATAGTTTTATGCAATTTTACAAATAGTGGCACATTGAAAATGAGTTCATGCATTTTTCGCGTGATACTTTCTTTTGGAAAGCAAGCATGAAACTCAATAGCAAATAAATTTATATATTGATGAAGCTCAGAAATTTCGGCATCAGAAAGAAATTTTCGCTTAAAAAGAATAGGTTGCAAGTTATTAAAAACACTAAACACACGTACAAATCTATTTTTAATTGCTTCATCATCAATAACACTACAAAGTTTATAGTGGTTTCTTAATACTATTTTACAATGATTACCTACAAATACATTACCATGGTAAGCTTGTCGCTCAACTTTCATATCTTCAAGGGCCTTATAAAGAGACCTCTCATGAGTCCCCATGCTACTTATAGATATTTTTTCTAGGTCTTCACACTCTATCTGCAATCGAATATACTCAACGTCTAAAACTTCGCGCTGTGCGCGTATAAAAGAAATTTTTTCAGAAATATAAAGGTCAAGACATTCTAAATCTTCACCCTGACATGCTAAACACTCATACTTCTCTATATCACACAATACATTCTTTTCCGAACCACCAATAATTTCACAAAATTGATGGAACAATTTTTGGCACGTACCACACTGCACCCAATCAATGTTACAATCATATTTAGTAATTAAACACCTGATACTAGCACACTTTTCTTGCTGTTTACAGGTTTTTTTTTTATTGGAGGAGTTTAGAGATATGTATTCCAATTCAGAAATATTTTTATCAAAAGCTAACCAACGAGTCTGTAGATTTGCAACGTCTACAAATTGATTTCCTAATAAACGTAAAGAGTCTGCTGTTTTAGAACATTCAAAGCTTTTAGCAGCCCACAATTCATTCGTTCTAACATTCTCATTATGTGACAAAGATGAAACAGCTTGACAATCCAAAGTCTTACACTCCTTTAACAATAACTTATAAAGTTTTAACACAACTCCTAACATAATATGCAAAACAGGTGGCACTACATTATCTAAAGTTATTATGGGGAAAATCACAGGAGCAATAATTGAATTATGAAACTTACCTAGAGCTCTTAGGTTTCCACCTTGTCTATCTTCACACAAGTTCTCATTGTAAGCACTTTCCAGAGATTGTATTGTCCTCCTTAAGATGTTACAATTAGCAGGTGTGTGAGGCATAGAAGCATGGTTTCTTAGAGAATTCAACTTAACTAGGTCTGTAGAACTAGGAAAGCTAGCAGCTGAACCCTGGTGTCCCAGAACATCATCGATAAAATGAAAATCTCCACCTAAGAACAACCTGACTATTTTGCCTTTTAGCTTAAAATCTGACGACTGAATTCTTTTAATGTCGTTGGCATAATGCCCGAGAACTAAGGCAATATTCTCACGACAGTCTGAACCCTGATACATACAAAATAAATGAACATCATATACAGACCCTGATGATTTAGAATTGACAACTTCAAAATGGAATTTCATATACTTCCCACCCTTATCCCCAGCAAAAAGGAGCCATACCTCTTCGCAAAAACCGACATCAGAATTGAAGTGGTCACGAACGTGCAGACTATTGAAAACCTCTTCAATATAAGTTATCAAATTCTTGACCATCAATACAGGTACTAAACAAGGTGCTTCATTCGCAGATGGATAAAGCAACATGGACTTTACAGTAACATGTTCTTTACTAACATGCATTGTCCGCATTTCTTGTTCTTGTCTTATCTTGGGCTCAGATGGGAGAATCCTTGCACCAAGATTACACAGAATACGTCTTAGCCTACGGAATTCAGCCGTGGGCATCCTTAATTGGCTCTGCAGCTCTACAGCATCAGAAACACTTAACTGCCTAACTAAACCCAACTTATTTGCAACACAATGAAACATAGACTTTTCACAAGACACAGAATCACAAAACAACATAGACAAATCACTTTCCAAATCTGAACAAGCTAATAATCGAAGGAATATAAAAGCAAGTTTAGATCGTCTAGCTGCAGCATGCCTACCTAACTTAGAATAAGATTTACCATCTCCTAACTTAATGTAAGTATATTTCTTACCAACTATTGGCTTTTTAACTGATATAGTCTGTGGATTACTTAATTTAAACCCACAGAATAATTCAGAGGAACCAATGTTGTCATAGTCTAAATAAGAATCAACGACAACTAAATCCTTATCACTGCTAGCAAAATATTTGCAAATTTGGCAACTGTTCTTGTTTATATCACTGATTTTTGCATTTTTTTTTTCAAATTTAAATTTTTTTAGCAATCTTACATTTTTGGCACGAGCAGATGCAAATTTACGGTGTGCTGTTTTTAATTTTTTTTTTTTTTAAAGTTGGAACTGCTCCTCCTGTTTTAGCCTAATACTCATAGTCTCTAATTGAGAACTTAATGAGTTACAATGTGCGTTGAGAGCCTTGTTTTTAGAATTTAAATATATAAATTCAGTTTCCAACTTTGATACCTGTATTTTTAAATTATCTATTTGCTCCACATTATTTTTTTCTTTAGAAATTAATTGTTCAACTTGACTACTTAGTTCCTTATTCCTATTTAAAATATAAAAATTATCTGCATCTGCTGATTTTTTTTGTTTTTTTGTTTGTGGAGCTGGAGACAGTTGCATTTTAAAAAATGCTTCGTTTTTTGAAGCTTCAAAATACTTTTTAGAATCTTTTTTTCTTTGTTTTATTTTTCGGCACATTTTATTCAACACATCAATATTAGGCATATTAAACTCAATTGGCAAAAGAAAACTTAAAAAAGTAAACAACGCTTTTGGATGAAAAACTGTTAATAAAATTGAAATCACATTGTTAGTGATCTTACTAGTGTCAATTACTCGCTTTACAAAATTAAAGTTATACTCATTTTCCCAACCATCTTCCCAACCGATGTACAGTTTCAAAATTTCCCTCTCAGTTGCATACATCACATAAATAATGATAATGATATTATAATAATAATATAATAAAAGAAATTAAATAAAATAATATTTACAAATAAATACACTAAAAATAAAAAAATTAAGCAACTTATCTGAGATTAGTCGAATATCCACAAGGAAATAATCCACGAAACTTTGCTTTATAATCTTTATTGATATAGTAATAAAATTATAATACAAACAACTTAAATAGAATAATATTGACAAATAGATGCACTAGATAAAATCGGATTAATCAACTTATCTGAAATTAGTCAAATATTCAAGAGAAATTAATCCGCGAAACTTTGTTATTTATTCTATAAAATGTGTCTCGTTTGTTTTGTTTGTTTTCTTAAAATGCATCCGATAATCGTTGGGGACGTAACGATCAGAGTTTGCGTCACCGCTTTAAAATGTAAACAAGAATTTATGCAAAAAAAACTAAAAAAAATGTCGCTAAACATGCCAAGTTTGAAAACATATTTGATAACATAGCTAGAGGTACAGAAAATAATTTTTTGATTTTCTTATTCATATAAGGTTGAAGTATTACTAAATCCACAGACTTTTCAAAAATGTTATGTTTTTTATTCAAAACGAATAAAAACAAAAATATAAATGCATTAAAAACTAACTTTCTATATAAAAACTTGCAAAGTCTGTGGAAATCTAGATAGAACAGACATTCATTAATAACTGTTCTAAATTTCAACCATCGACCATGTAGCTATGTTATCAAATCTTAGTTGGCCTAAGACAGGTTTTGCGTAAAAATCGCAAAAATCAGAAAAGTGATGCCAAATTATTAACAATATTTTTACAGCTTTCATTTTTATTCCGTTTAATGTAAATGTTTATTTAACAAGGAAAGATAGATCTTTTATATTTTTTTTATTTGAAGATGAAAGCATTTATAGAAAAAAAATACTATTATTTTAAAGTTAATGAATTTTTATACTTTTTATGCGGAAATACTTTTTTTTTTGATAAACTCGTGACGTCAGGCTCGCTTTTATATTGAGTGAAACAGCCGTGCATATAGTATTTTCTATAATGAAGATATCCAAGAACTTCTCCTTTAGTTGGCAGCTTATTATCAGGTAGATTTTCGATGGTTTTTTCTACCAAAAAAACCTTTTTTGATCTTGTTTGAGACATCTCATATATTTTTCCAAATTCCAGACAATAGTAAGTGCAATGTTTAATAAAAAATTCCTTATAAATGTTTACAATGTCCCTAGAGACATAAATTAAAATCGTATTTGAACAAAACCTTGAATTATACATATGGTAAAACTAGTAATAAACCTGTTTTATTGTATAATTTTTAACATTTAACATTTCCCAAGAGAGTATTTTATGTTACATTTTAAGTTTAATTTATTAAGTTGTCTTGAACAAGTTACGCACAATACTAGCGTAAACAATACTTTTCGCTAAAACAAGGAGTTTCAAAGAAAATGTTAAAATATTCAATAGACTGGAGGAGGTAGTAAATTCAACTTTTAAAAAAAGTTTATAATTTTCTCTATGTACTCATCAAAATAACCAGAAATCAAATAACGACCTTCAAAAATCAAAAATTTTGTAGAAATGAGCTAATATATTTATATATATGGAGCTAATATATATATATATATATATATATATATATATATATATATATATATATATATATATATATATATATATATATATATATATATATATATATATATATATATATATATATATATATATATATATATATATATATATATATGTATGTATGTATGTATATATGTATGTATGTATGTATGTATGTATATATATATATATATATATATATATATATATATATATATATATATATGTCAACCCTCGGAATTAGGAAAAATGAGGTCGACAATAATTTGACAACCTCAATTTATATATATATATATATATATATATATATATATATATATATATATATATATATATATATATATATATATATATATATATATGTATATATATATATACACACACATACATACATATATATATATATATTATTATTATGTTATTATATTATTTTAACAGGTTGCGTTGCCCAAAAGACAATGGAAACATTAATCTCGATATGGTAAATAATCAGTTTTGATAATATTTTATATTATTCATCTGTATAAAGTCATATTTTAAATTATCATCTTTGTAGGTATTTTATGATAAAGCGGCTCAAAGGGCTGTATCTAATCTTGCTGTAAAATGTTCTAAAATGCATGATGGATGTTCTTGGCAAGGTTCATTGCATGAGTTGGAGGTAAATAAAGGTTGTCATTTTTTTTCAAGTTTATAAAGCAGGGTAAACAATTTTTAATTTTTTTGAGTGTTTTTTTGATTTTTATAAACTGCATTTGATCTATGTGCTCACTTATTCTTATAATTGTATTTTATAAGACACACCAGTTCTAGTTCCTCAATCTTTTAGAGGTCAGCAAAAAAAATTTGGTACTAAGGTAAAAAAACATAGAAACAAGATCAGCAATTTTTTGCCGACCTCAAACACTTTTAGATCAGCATTGCCAAATACCGATCTAAAGGTGTTTACTCTAATTCTAAAGGCTGTAGGCTATATAATTACTATTTTTTATTCATCAAGTTTTATATACAAAAAATATCATTGAAAAAAGTTAATAAAAATGTGTGAATGCAACGAATGTTTTGTTTGTAAAATTATGGCAAAAAAAGTTTTTTTAAGAAATTTAAAAAAAAGAAAGTTATAAGTTACTATAACTTTCTATAACTATAACTCTTCTTTATATAACTCTTCTCTATATAACTCTACTATAACTTTTTATAACTATCACTTTCTATAACTATAACTCTTTCTTTAAATATTTTTTTAGAAGCATGTTAATGATTGTTATTTCCATAACAAAACCAACTCAGTTTATCAGGTATAATATATTTTGTTTAAACTGCAAGATGTAAAAAAGGTTGTAAGCTGTTGTGGCAGCAAATGCACAATAGTTATTAAATGACAGTATGCAATATTAATACTAGTACTACAAGACAGTACTAGTATTAATATTGTTGATTATATATATTATATATATAATCAACTGGACTTCTTGAGATTTTAATCTAAAATCATTATAATCTATATATAATGCTGATGAATATATTACAATTAAATAATAGATAAATAGAACTTGTGTGTGTGTCTCTCTCTCTCTCTCTCTCTCTCTCTCTCTATATATATATATATATATATATATATATATATATATATATATATATATATATATATATATATATATATATATATATATATATATATATATATATATATATATATATATATATATTTTTTTTTTTTTTTTTTTTCTTACTCCGGATTCTATTCTTTCTCTCTATAAATCTCAAATTCATCCTTGATCTTCCAATGATGCCTTTTCTCTTTTAGATAAGCTGCAAAAATGCATTTTAAACATAGTTGGACCTGCTCTTGCAACCAACCTCCAACCATTATCACATGTTGTTGCATCTCTTGTGCCATCTGCTAAAATTTATTCTATTGTTACTCGCTATTCAATTAAGTCTCATCCTTTTTCTGTGACTGTTCCTAAGTGCTCCAAAAAGATAATCAGTTCTTTGGAATCCGCTTCCTTCATCTTGCTTTCTCAATTTATATGATTTGCAATCTTTTAAGTTGTCTGTCAATCGTTATCTAAACTTTATCTTTTTTCTTTAGTAACTTCCAATTCTAATAGTGGTTGCGTGCAGCCTTATTGGAAGCGATGATGTTTAAAAAAAAAAAATTCTTAAGTTGAATTTTTAAAGTAGGCGGAGGAAGAGTCCAAAATTCTATATTTTTTGTTTAAGCGATAATTCCTTATTAGATTTTTCAGAAAAGTTCAATAAACAATTCAGTTTTTTCTATTTTTTTTTTTTTTTGGTTGACCTTCTACTTCTATTTTTAACTTTTTAAAGATATTACAAAACTTAAAAACAATAATTTTTGCAGCTTATTCTTTGTGTGTAAAGTTACGCAACTTTATGTTAAAATTAATCCAATTTAAATTTTGATTGGATAACTTTGAATTAAAATAAATGAAAGTTGCGTTAAAAAAAAAATAAGTCTTATCTAGTCTAAAAATTTGTTATGATTTACTTTGCTAGAAAATACTTTACTTTTAATTTTGTGAAGTGAATTTAAATACTGATTAAATGAAAAGTATTACAACAAAAAGTAGCAAACTAATAAATAGATAAATCACAAACTAGTAAACAAATAAATCAAAATTAATAAACTTCTTTAGAAATCTTCTAGTAGTTAACAAACTTTAACATAAAATTTTGCATTTACTTATTTACTCAAGGTTGTTTTTGTACTTTTCTTTAATCAAGTCAACAATAAATTATCTTTTGGAAACTTCATTAAGTAAGATTGACAGTAGTTGCGGAAGCAATTTGTATATACGCATCAAAAAACTTAAATGATTATATCATACTTGCAAAATTTAGCTTTTCTTCACCAGAAAATAAGAAAGTATTATGGGTTTGGAAAAGATACAATAATGGAATAACTTAGGTATTACATTTTTAATCAGTGTTTTTCAATTTATAAAACAATTACAAATAACATTTAACTTAAGTGTCAACGCGGCACTCGTTTCAATCGGCTTTAGAAATACTATTGATTACAAAAATTCCTTGTGGTAATATTTAGGTAATTAAGAATTATTTCAGGAAATATCTCATTATTAAAAAATTTAAAACATAAAATACAGATGGAACCAGTGACAGAAACAACTGAGACCAAGCAGATTAGCAAAAAAAATCTGTAAGCTTGTTTCAAATTACAAGGCAGCCCATTTACTTGCGAGTCTATGAATATATTGAAAAAGAGAAAGATCTGTTTAATGTCAAAACAATTGATGAATGGGATGTGTATTTTAGCAATACAGTAGATCATAGCAGCGATGATCTACTTAATTTAAAATCATAATTGTTGATAAATATACAAAAAAATGTCGTCTTATGTTTACAGAAGTATAAGCTAATAATTTAAAGTTTCTTCTTAACTTGGAAAGTCATCACAACAATCCACTATCATCTAGGATGACTTTTTTTTTTTTGTTCTGCTCCAAGAACTAAACATTTTATCATAAAGAACTAAACATTTTGTCACCGTGGAAGATCAATTTAACTAGTTTACACCTCCTTTCATACCAATGTCGCTTATCTGTTCAGAGCCAACATTAAACTCAAAACTCTTGATTTTGGGAAAGAAATCAAATCACTGCACAACATCTCCAATGAAGTTATTTTGCATTTTGACTAGTATTTGTTACAAGTTGTTCTTTATAACAAGAATTTCATTCCTTATATGGAGTAATTCCATTCCTTATATGAAATAATTTTATGTATAATGTTTAATTTTTTGTTGGATTTATAACTACACCTAATGATTACGCGTTTTATTGATAAAATGAAAAGAAAAATATTTACTCTATAATAATAATGACAAGCTGATCTGACTCCTAAAAATCTTTGTAAGTCTATTCCACACTGAACTTTTTTATACTATTTCCTTATATATAGATATATATCCTAGCTTTCTGGACCCATAAATTATATGGGTCTTTACCAAATCTACCATTTCTATATTTCTATTCCACACCGATCATATCTATACCTATTATTTGTTTACTTTACAAAAAAATATGCTTACAAAAAAATTGCTTTAAGAGCAAAAAAGTTAACATGCGCACCCTTTCAGCATACCTAGAGCTTATAAGAGATTTATTATTAGGATTGTTTTTCTCCTAAACGCATATCATTGATAGCTCAGTGGTTTAGTATGCTGTCACCAGCCTTGTTTTTGGGGATTGAAGCCATCCCCTTATAAATTTTGAAAACTTTTCATTCTTTATGTATTTATAGCAAACTTTATAGCAAAAATTTTATAACAGTATCACAGTTTATTATTATTTTATAATACCAATATTGTTTAATAACAGTATAGCAGAACTAAGAAGATCTTAGAGCATTATAAACTATAGACTATAAAACGCTAAGGAATCGCCCACAAATTACGCAACGCTAAATTTATTTTTAAAAAAGTATAAGAGATCTTCAGTTCTTTAGGATGGAGATTTTCATTAAACTTAATGAGCTATATAGATATATATATTTTCTTGAACAGATAAGGACCATCGATAAAGAACATACACAGTAAAAAATTTCTTACATATTAAGTTTATTAAGTCATTAAGTTCATAATAAGGTCATTAAAAATTCTTTCATATTGCAAGTACTTAATAGACCTATGAATACCTGTGATAACTGGTGATTATTATGAAAATTATTAAAGTGTTCAAAAAATTTTCAATGACAATATATTATTTTGACATGGAGAATCACTGTCACAGCAGCTTTTGAATCATTATATTTTGCATGCTCTATTGACTTAAATTTTGATGGTGTTAAGTGTAAAAATAAAATGTACAACTTTCAACTCAATTTTTAACTAAATTAATACTAAAAGAAAAAAAATTGGTAATTTTGAAAGAATATATTTATTTACAAACGAAACTTAAAAAATAGATCAATAAAATATACATATAAAACTAAATACATTCAAATACCTCTTTTATTTGAAGATGTAGTTGTGTATTTTCCACTGCCCACTCTAACTTCTCAAAATACACTTTTGGTAAGGTTAGTTCCTTCTCTTTAATAAATAGAGGGGAAATCTTATTGCCTACTCTAAATATAGAATACTTTATTTAGAATTTGACTATTGTGCCCCTCCACTTTAAAACCCATGTCATTGGACAGAAAAATACAAACTGCAATTTCACAACAACATAAAATCAAACACATTTTATTTAAACAATATTTATTTAAAAAACAAAGTAAATTTATAACTTCATTACATTAAAATAAATACAAACTTTAAAACTGAAGATAAAGATAAATTCGAATTTAAAACTTACAATATATGATAAGCTACGGCACTAAAAATAAAATAATAATCAAATAAATATTGTTATTTACTTTTTAAACAAATAGGAACTTAAAAAAAAAAAGCAAACGTAAATTTTTTTAAGAAGTAAATTTGAAAGGTTCTTTAAAAGTAAATTTAACTTAATAAAATCTAACCTAAATATCACCACTAGACAATAGCACTGTACTAAATAATTAGATTCATGTAAAACATGATTGAGTATCTAACAAAAAAAAAGCAATAAAAAATAAAAAACAACTTACTTATATCTAAAATAAATTCATCTTCAGCTTCTATAAAATTAACAGCTTGTCGAGAAACAATTTCAACACATCACCTACAAAACAGAACATGTTTCATTAACTAAAACATTAAAAAGTTAAACTTTAGTAACAAGAATAAAAAGTTTTACTTTATAAATATAATATATTATAATTATAATATAATTCTATTATAAATATATAATATAAATAAAAACTTTAGTAACTAGAATAAAAAGTTAAACTTTAGTAACTAAAATAAAAACAGATTGAAAAATTACATAATACAGTTATAAATAAAATTTATAAATAAGAGTATTTTCAATAATTATTATTTTTATGATAATGATTAAAGAGATATTCAAAGATTATGAAAGTTAAAAAAAGAAATGCAAATACATAGAAATTAAAATTAAAATTTTTAATTATGTTCCTAATAAAAACATACTTTTTAAACCCCCTTAACGTTTTTAAAAAAGTTAACGCCACATGGCAAGTTCTTCAGCTTGCTTGTTTTTTAATTTTTGTTGTTTAAAATGCAAATCAAAAAACTTTATAGTTCTATAGATTTTATATTCTATAAATAAACATGTTGTTTACTCATTTTACTTGCACGAACTTAACTTAGTTGTAAATAAACTTGAAATGTTAAACTAAAATAACATAAGTATCTCAATAATGACACATGCGCAACAAATGTCCACCTGTTTTTGAATGTTTTAAGAATTTTTAGCTTTTTTAAAAATCTTTTCGTTTGTTAAAGTGTAAAATATTGTTAGATATGTTTATTTATAATCTTTATTGAACTTCACAAGAATTTTGTATTAAATAAAATCTAAAGAAAACTTAAATAAAAGTTGCCGGTGGTACGATTTGAACTACAACTTTCTTGTTCAGAAGTTGGCGCGCTAACCACTCGGCCATGCTGGCATGTTGATCATTGCAGTTTTGAAACTATAAAAATTATTTTTAACGGATATAGATGCTAAAGATCAGAAATTAAGAAGAGGTTGTCACAATGCAGTTTTTAAGTGTAAATCAAACTGTAAAACTTGATATATGTTTAAGCATGTTTTAAAATTACATAACATTAAGTTTACCTATGTACGATTATAAGTTTCACGTTTGCTCACGTTTTCTTATAAAGTAAAGGTGAGACTCTTTCTCGCCAATACCTTGGTTGCAATGGCTGCCAAGGGTTTCGTGTCAAATACGCTCCAAGGGACACTACTACTATTAAAACTATTAAGTTCAGCAATAATATATAGAGATTTCATTTATTTTAACAATTGATTATTTTGTCAGAATAATCACTTATATTGAAATTGAAGTAGAAGGCCAAATATTTATAATGAAAAAAAAGTATTATGTAATTTGAAATCAGCATTAAAAAATTAAGAAACAGTGGTTAAACTACACAAAAGCTAAAAAAAGATAAAGTTCAATAAATTTAAATAAGTACTATTGATTTATATTGTGTTTTTGTAATAACAGAATGTTATTACAAAAACACAATATAAATCAATACAAATAATTTTTTTTTTTCATTATTGTTATTATTATTATTATTATTTATATTATTATTATACTTTAGTTTTAATAGTTAAAATTAGTTTTTTACTATTTCCTAATAAACGCATCAGTAATGGTCACCAGTGGTGTGCTGACCTCAGAGGCTATACGGGAATCCCGCTTAGGCCTATCGCTATTTATCCTAGAAGGGCCTTTTTTTTTTGAATTTTTATGCTCTTTACTACATTCTGAAAATGATTTACTAATGATATTTATATGTTTTATTTTTTATTCCGCAAGTTAAATTCTTTAACAAATCTATGATTAGAACTGTTGGACTTCAAGCGCATATATATTAATATTTTGCATAATAAAATACAACCATTTGTAACTTTTGCCTTACAACAAAGTCGATATTGGAAAAAATAATTGATCGTTATGTCACTTGAATTGCTCATTATATCAGTCATTATAAAGATAAAATTAATTAAGTTAGCCAGTATTATTATGAGAAATAATTGTGTTAAATTAGCAATTTTAATTTATGGAAAAATTTTCATATTGATAAAATTTTTGTTAAATTAGAAGGATTAATTGTTTTTTCATAAACAAAAATTGTAACGTTTTTAAAATAAATAATTTGTATAAGCTTTTATAAAATTGCTCTTATTGTATGTATTACTGTTGTTTATAAAGTAGTTAAATATTTTTTCTATATATAAATGAATAAAGCATTTTATTTCTATTTGAAAGTATTCTGGATTCATTCATTTCAGGGACCGCAAATACGTTGAAACTAATATTTAACATTATAAACTTTAGTAACCTTTAGCTTTTTTTTAAAGAACATAAAAACCGTGTTTGTTGTAATTATAGCTTCTATTTTTTTTTAAGATTTGACATAGAATGGAAAATCTTAAAAATTGTATACATTCAAAGACCATAAGGACTTCTTAGGGCACAAAAAAAAAATTGTTGTACCATTGTTTTTGTTACACTAATAAACATAAACAATATATATATATATATATATATATATATATATATATATATATATATATATATATATATATATATATATATATATATATATATATATATATACATATATATTCAAATATATATACAAATGTGGGCCTTCAAATCAAGCATATTAGGTGAAATCCTGCATATATGGGCCTTTTTAAAAAAATCCCACATGTGCTTTTTGGAGCCAGCACGCCTCTGATGGTCACAATATATAAGATTGATTAAACTTACTTTAAACTTATAAATCAATAACGAAAGCATTGCATTGCATTGGTACTAAATTTTACAGCTTTGTAGTTACTTTTGTTTTATTTGACGCAATTTAAACACAGGTATTAATCGGTAAGCACAGGTATTAATCATAGTTTTATAATTTCTAATCCCCGGGATATTGTAAAAACAATCTCAAGATTTCGGGGTTATAAAATCAGAGATGATCCTGCGATCTGGGATTGCAAACCCTAATATATATGCAAAAGGTGCATCATTAAAGGTTAAAAGTAAGTTATACATCACATAGGTCTAGTGTATTATGATTTATGAAAAATACATATATACATAAATATGATTTTTTTTTTCATAGGAACACATTAAGAATCAATTAAGAGTACTAGAAGAAACTATTAAAAAAAAAGATCAAGAGTTTTTTGACTTGAAAAATCAAAACTCAAATCTTGAACAAGAGTTCATAAAACATAAGAAAGAAATAACAAATTTAACAAATAACATAAATGCTCGTTTAAATGAAATAATTGCAACAAACAAAGATTTAACTATGTGTGTTCAACAATTCGAAAAATTAAAAATAGTAGAAAATATAGTAGGTAACTCATATGATAAAAATACTTTACCAGGTTCTTCATTACCAAGTCCATGTCAAAAGATTTCAACTATACCATCAGATAAGCGAATAACAACACCAATTGTTAAACTTTCAACAGCACCTTCTCCTAAATCTTTTACAACCATATCTAATTCAACAGCACCGTTTATTAAACCTTTAACTGCATCATGTAGTTCAACAAAGCCATCTTTTCCACCAAAGCCACTATCTGTTAAGCAATTATCTACACCATCGAATGCAACATCAGCTGCTGTTCAACTTTTAACAACACAATCTAATTCAGCAACACAATCTGTTCAACTTTTAACTGCATCTTCTGTTAAGCCTTTAGTAACAACATCTGCTTCAACAACACCATGTCTTGCAAACACGTTACCTAGTTCAAACAACTCAATCCCTCAAGTAGTTCAATATCCTGCAGTCAGTTGGAATCATTTTGATGAACCAGATTGGGGAGGAGAATTAGAAGATTGGGAGTTTGATTATTTTGAAGAAGTAAGTTGAATTTTTACTTTTCAACAATTTCCTTAAAAACTATTTTAACTATAAAATCTTTGATTTGTAACTAATAAATAAATTTATTTTGAAAAATGGTAAAAGTGGATCGAATAAATTTTATATTTATATAAAAATAAAATAACTCACATGTAAAATAATTAAAATTAACCTGTTGTTTTTTTTTTAGCTTAGTATTAAATAATTTAAGATACTAATGTAAAAGTATAAAAAATTTTAATAAAATTAAGTTTAATAATATGGTATTTGTTAGAGTTGATTTAATAATAAATTTTTTTTTATTTATTAAATTATTCAGTAGTGATTTTAGGTAATAAAATCACTGATGATATGTTTTAAAGTGGTAAACATTAGTGGTAATGTAATAATAATATGTAATATGCTGTAATAATAATTACTGAAATTATATATGCATGTAAATTATAATTGTAATAATTTTATGTACGTTTTATATATATATTAGACACCAGTGATTTTTAACTTTTTTTCAAAATTCCAATTACTTCAAGCTGGAGTACCTTCTTTAGACCATAAAAACATTATAGGCAAAATATAAAAGCTTCAGATATTTCCAATTCTATCTTATTTGGACTAATATTTATCAAATATTATCATTAAAAAGTATAAACTTTAAGAGGTCACACAAATATTTGAAATGATAACGCACAAGAACTTTTATGAATGTATTGTTTATAAGGATAAGATGTATAAATAATATTAACTTAAATTTTTAAGGTTGTTTTTAGGGTGTTAAAAAAATAATTATCATAACTTAAACAATAAAGGTTTTCAATAATCATTAGCCATTAACTGAAAAATGGCATTTAGCTAGAATGAGAGCATTTCTTTTCTGGAGATTAATAAATTTTCTGCTAGCATCAGAAGTCATTTTCACTACTCTTTTAACCGTTTGCGAGTGGCATGAAAGGTTGGGAGCCTTTCCTTGATTCGGAATCATATTCAAAAGCTTCTTATTTGATATATCTTCCACACAAGGGGGCTCAAAAGTCTATATTATACAAATTTATTAATTTTGACCAGTTTTTACATTTACAATCAATATCTTGAATGGCATTAACCATAATACCTTCTTTTAATCCATTTTTAGGATCCTTAATTATAGTTTTTCTTGTTTCTAAAATCTTAACAACAGCAATTGTTCTATAAACTTGTTTTTCAGAATAAAATAGAGCAGCAATAAAATTCTCAGGTTGGAGACAAAAAGAGTTTGATCAATATCCAACCTCAAAATCCACTGAATAAATTGGAAAATGAGTTTAGGACCCTCTGTGAAACTCTTAGACTTTTTGATATTAAACCACATTGGAGTATATATTGTTTAAATATATTCAACAAAGATTTTGAGCTCTCTATTGGAATTGATTGTTCTTGTGTATAGTGCCAAGATCCGTACTGCTGTTATCAGCCACCTTGCATAACAAATAGGGCCTAAAAATATAATCTTTTATATATAAAAATTAATTAATTGTATAATTTAATAGTAAATTATATATTAATAAATATATATTTACATAAATTTCAAACAAACTAAATAAAAGGAAAATTATCAAAAACAAATGGTTTACAAAACAACACACCTATTTTTCTCTCCGATACTTCTTGTCTGAAAACCCTTTAGAAATTCCAATATTGTATTCCAGTAGCATTCTCTGGTCAGCAGAGAGGTCTTAAATGACACATGGAGGAGGATATTCAACGTCTGTCTCAACTTGTATGAAGTTAACAGTTAAATTTAAATGAATTAGATCTGTCAAAGGTTTTTCACCTGGTCCTTTAAATTTTTATTATTATTTGATAAAGTATATTAATATTAATAGTTATAACTTTTTACTAAAAATAATAATTTATAATTATGCTCATCAGAAAAAAGTAAAGCAGCAATAAAACTCATTAGTGAAAAAATGAGTTTCTATAAATTTTAATAATGTTGCTATTAATATTATTATCACCAAGAATGTAAAATAATATTATTACGAGCATTTAATACCCTAATAATTATTTAAGCTATTAGAAGAACCATCAAGTTTAGAAATTAAATGATGCAATGGTAACTCGCTAACATGTAGAAGACAACCAATTAAATGAATTCTTCTTTTCAATATTCTTTCAAGACGAGCAACTAAACCATTATCTTTACCTAAAATGATATAATATATAAAATATGAAAATATATAACTCAATTAAAGACTTATATATTATCTTTTTTTATTTTTCATATTTTTGAAGAAAAAATATACCTGTATTAACACTTGTATTACCCAAAAATATTGCCTGGATACTTTTATCACTCTTAAACTCCTTGAGAACATCACAGGTAAATTCAGCAAGATCTTTTCCTTTACCTTTTTTTTTAGGTACATCTATGTGCTTTAGATATTGATCTTGCAACTCGCCTTGTTCAAGTTAAAACATTTTTATTAGTAAAAAATAAAATTAAAAAAAAAAAATCAAGACAAAAGAGATAACATTGGCCATTACCTGATTCAATTGTGAATGTCAAGTGGTCTATAATGCTGGTAGATTTACAAAGTTTCATTTCACCATCAATAATTCTTTGTTCATAAAGCAATGAGTTTTTATTACGTTTGCTATCCAAACCAATTGCCTTTATATTTGAAACTTTAGATTGCTCAAAAACTAGCATTAAAACATACTTGTTCTTTCTCTCTCTTCATTTTACTTGGATCATCTACATCATTTAGATGTAGATAACCAATATCTTGAAGTAGAGCATTAGCTACAGTGGCAGCTGCTTCATCTGATATTCCACATCTAATTACCTCTAAAGCAAGTTTGGGATAGTGGGTAGTGTTATAGTACTTTGATTTAGTCTGATTTAATAATGAAATTGAAGTTTCACTCAGTTTTACTTTTGTAATTATAATAATACAATATATATATATGAAAATAATACAACAAAACTTCCAGAAACTAAAAATCATAACAATTCAAATTTTACATTAAATTGCATTAACATTTAAGACTTTAGAGCATTATTTAAAAGAATTAAGAAATTTTATTTTATATATTTTTTTAATTTTATATATGGTTAGATTTATTTATATATATATATATATATATATATATATATATATATATATATATATATATATATATATATATATATATATATATATATTTACCGGTATGGGTACCCAAACAAAAATGCCCAAAAATTATTTTTATTTTTAATTTTTCTTTTGATTTTTTTATGAAAAAAAGTAAAAAAAAATTAGGTTTTAAATGCAGTAGTATATAAATAATTTTCAGTTTAGTTTAGCTACCTCATTTTTTCTTCATGAAAATAAAAAGAATTAAAAAGAAATTGCTATTTTACATAACTACATGGCATAATTTCCTATATCTACTATCGCGCAAACTTGTAACTATTCTCCTAACTATCAAGTTTAATTATTAAATAAATGAACTATTGATCTTTAGCTTGCTATTTTAGTTTACGTGAGGAAAAGGAAAAAACGAAATATAAACTTTTCTAGACAGTTTTTTTTTCTTTCAATATTCTTTTTCAAACAATAATAAAAAAAAAGGTTTCAATAACTTAATAAAAGTTTTATTTAGATCTGTTTAAAATAACCCATAGTAAATGTTTTTTTATTTATTCAAATGTAATTTTTTAAATTACTCTTAGTAATTAAAAATACATTTATTTTTTTTAATATGTTTTTAAAAATATAATATGATTTTTAATCAAAATAATAAAATATTTTTAAAATTATGTTTACTGTAAATTATCTCTTTAATTATCTTTAATTTAAAAGGCGCCTTAAAATCACTTAAAAAATTATAACCTTTGGTAAAAGTTAAATGAACAGATTTACTAATATTTAAATCAAAAATTTTTAATTTAAAATAGAAACTAAGTTTATTAAATGCTTATGTTTTTATTCAAATAGTTTATTAAATACGTTTATTAAATGCTTATCGAATTTGTTTAATAAATGCTTATGTTTTTAATTCAAGTACAAGACGTAAAACTATTGTTAATTTTACAAATATTATGCGATATAATATATGTAAATATATTATGTAGTGTAAATATTAATTAAAAATTGTTTAAAATATTTTTAATCATTGTTTTAAATTAAATTTACTAAAACATAGTTAATAACTGTTTAAAATACTTTAAACAATTTTCAATAATTATTTACTAATAGCGTGGTATATGCAACAAAAGCGTTTATTAAAATCTAAAATAAAATAGTTTTATTTTAGTCAAAGTAGCATCGTCCACAAGTAAATTCATGTATTCAAAAAACGCCTTTAAATCAACACCTTATTATAAGGTAAAACTGAACAAGATAAACATAAATGATTATTGCGGCACCCGTTTAACTAGAGGAGAATGAGGAGGAGGGGAAATCAAAAACTTAATTTCCCCCTATATATATATATATATATATATATATATATATATATATATATATATATATATATATATATATATATATATATATATATATATATATATATATATATATATATATATACATATATATATATATATATATATTTATTTGGGGATACCGGTTTTTTTTCAGCAACATTATATATATATATATATTTCAGCAACTATATATATATATATATATATATATATATATATATATATATATATATATATATATATATATATATATATATATAAATATATATATATATATCAAATATATGATATATATATATCAAATATATGATATATATATATATATATATATCAAATATATATATATATATATATATATATATATATATTTATATGTTGCTGAAATATATATATATATAATGTTGCTGAAAAAAAACCGGTATCCCCAAATAAACTCTGGGTTCTTCACTGTGTGTGTATATATATATATATATATATATATATATATATATATATATATATATATATATATATATATATATATATATATATATATATATATATATATATATAT